TACATTCTTTTATAGGACTTAGCAAGACTTTCTAGACATTTTTACTGTTTAAAGGGTGATGAATTTAAAAAATATGAAAGATGGCTAGAGTATACATAGATCCATCAACTATTCGACAGCAAAGTAAAAGAAACCAAGTAAAAACAAAGAAAATAAAAGATATTAACCAAGTTAAGACTCAAGAATAAAGTCTATATTAAATATTCAAAAAGATAAATCTAAATTATATGACAGAAAACATATTCAATACATTGTAGTTTGCTACTCATAATCGCTAGAATATTGTGTCTTGCTAATAAACATACTTGAAATAACTTAGTTTAAGTATAAGTAGCATAATAGGCTTTAGGAATTAGTATTTTGAGTTTAATTACTTGTTGGTTTGTAATAATTTTCATAATTCCAAGGCTCAATAAAAAATTTAATGCTTTACGTATTAGTTTTAAACTTACTATATAAGTATTCCACACGTAAAATTTATTCGGTACGGTTCGGTATTTTTTTGGTTTATTTTTATGAAATAAAAAACCTAGCCTAATTATCGGTACGGTTATAGATTTATATAAAAACGCACATTTTTTTTAAAAGAAACCTAAAAATCGGTTCGGTGCATTACGGTTCAGTCGGGTTTCAAATATCCATTGACACTCCTACATTTGGCTAGTTCGCTCAGTTTTGAATTAACTTGGTTCGGTTCGGTTCGTTCCATTTTTTAATTAATTCGATTCACTTCATAAAATTTTTGGTACATAAATACACAGGTGATAAGCAAACTAAAAATGTTTGGTCCTTGAAGAAAAAAAAAACATTAACCAGATCAAAAGAAAAATGATTAAAACATATTGAAATATCAAAGTTCAAGATTCAGAAAAGGAAAATAGAAATAAATATATTTTTATAATTTAAATAACTAATAAAAATGAAAATGTATAAAGAGAAAATACAAAGATGAAAATAAGAGAAAAGAAAAGAATAATCTGGAAAAATAGGGAACAAGGAAAAGTAAAATAGGCTTTGATAGAAAATAAGGGTGAGGGGATTCGACCCAGGGTCTCGGACATGACAAGAAGCATTTAGACAATGGCACCTACCATAACTCTGTTTGACAGGGTGCCACAAAATTAATTTATACCTTATTCACATGAAATATGCGTGGAATACCAATACTAATATGAAATTCTACCGGAACGATCGGGTGGCGTACCACCCCCTCCATCTACATAGATCCGCCCCTGGCTTTATTTGATTGAAACAATTGAAAATGTAGTGTAGGAAGACTTTGTAGCAATTATTTGCTCTCTCCTGTGTCAAACTGGGTCTGTCAAAGGCTAAAATATAATCTTGACTTTTTGCCAGTTTTTATAAAGCTGATAAACATTGTAACTTTATTATGGCAAATACTTTTTTGTCGTACATAGTTAATTATTGTAATTATGGCCAATATTTTAGCTAATGGAATCCATCTCACATAAGCATAAATATTTTTGTAAAGTGTAGACTTTGTTGGCAATATTCTTTGGGACCCAAAAATATTGCATTGTGTGGTGGACATCATTTGCACAAGTTGTATCTCTTCTTTTACACCTAAAAGGCCAAGACTTTTTTGCCTATAAAAGAGAAGGCCATTAGTTCATTTTAGATACACCAACAAGACTTGAGTCTTCATTTCTTGTTTTTTCCTTTCCTCCTTTATTAAGAGTATTTTGTATGAGAGTTAGTATTGGGAAGCACTTGTGTGAACCCTTTCTTTGGAGTGATCTTATGAGGTTATTCTCTTAGGGTATTTGGGATTAATTAGAGTATTTACTCTAATTTTGTACTCTCTTTGTACTCTTATTCGTATAGTGAAATTGCTCCTCTCCGCTTGTGGGCGTATGTCACACTAACCGAACCACGTTAAATTGATGTCTTCTTTATTTGCTTTAATTGTCGTTATTATCAACTTGCATTGTCTTTGTTATTGTCATTATAACGTTGTTTGGCTAAATTTCGCACTACCCGAGTTTTCGATCCTAACAAATTGGTATCAAAGCCGGATCTAACCGGGTTAGTTTCAATAGCCAAAATGACTCTAACAAAGACCTATGTTGAGAAATCTGATCGAAGTGCAAACTTCAGAATGTAGCAATTAAAGATGGAAGCTATCTTAATTCATGATGGCTTAGACTTGGCATTGCAAGGAAAGGAGAAGAAGCCGGATAAATGACGGATGAGGAGTTTGCCGTCATAGACAAAAGAGCAAAAGCATATATCATTTTAAATCTCTTAAATGAGGTTTTACGTGTAGTTTCTGTAGAAACCACAGCCAAAGGCATGTGAAAAAAATTGAAAACCTTATATATGAAGAGGACAGTGGAAAATAGACTTTACCTGAAGTAGAAACTTTATACAATTCGTATGGGTGAAGGTACCTCTATTCTCTCTCATCTTGACACCATTGATTCCATTCTTATGGATTTGAGTAATATAGATGTTGAAATTAAAGATGAGGATCAAACCGTGTTACTGCTTTATTCTCTACCTCCATCTTTTAAGCATATAAGAGATACTATGCTTTATGCAATAAAGAACATATAGATAGTGATATTACTAGGGAAGCTAGTGGAACTCAAGCGGGAGTTGGCTTGTTTGTTAGGGGCAAATCTAAGTCCAATTTCAGATACAATAATTTAGAGTGTCGCTATTGTCATAAGAAAGGTCATAATATCTCTGAATGCTATAAACTGAAAAATAAAGAAAAGCATAAAGAAAGAAAAAATGAGCACATAAATACTGACACCGCCGAAGCTAGTGTAGCAACTGATGAGATTGATGGAACTATATTTTTAGCAACTGAAACTAGTTTCAGATCAGACAATGAGTGGATTTTAGATTCCGGTTGTTCATATCATATGTGTCCTAGCAAGAACTTGTTTTCTACATATGATTCAGTTGCAGGTGGAGTTGTCCAACTAGGTAACAATGTTACTTATAACATTATTGGCAAATGTACAATTCAGATCAAAATGCACGATGCTATGGTGAGAATTCTCACCGATGTTAGACATGTTCCTGACTTGAAGAAAAATCTCATCTCTTTAGGCACTCTAGAATCTCTTGGGTACAAGTACGCAGGTGAAGGTGGAGTTATGAAAGTTTCTCATGGTGCTCTTGTGATCATGAAAGCACACAGATCTGGTTCGTTGTATACTTTATTGGGATCCACTGTTATAGGCCCTACTACAGTTGCATTATAACAAATATCCTTCCGTGATCGAGGGATATAGTGATGCAAATTGGATCACTGGATTATCTGAAGTTAAATCCACGAGTGGATATGTTTTCACAATTGGAGGTGGAGCAATGTCTTGGAAATCATCCAAACAAACGTGCATCGCCCGTTCTACAATGGAATCTGAATTCATAGCTTTAGATAAGGCCGGTGAAGAAGTTGAATGGCTCCGGAATTTCTTGGAAGATATTCCATTTTGGCCCAAACCTTTGGCACCTATTTGTATACATTGTGATAGTCAAGCGGCAATAGGCAGGGCAAGGAGCNTCAGCTTCGGCTACGGCTACGGCTACGACTTCGGCTTCGGCTTCGGATTCGGATTCAGATTCAGATTCAGATTCGGATTTGGATTTGGATTTGGATTTGGTCAAAGATCGATTGATTGATTAATCTTTTTGGACAAAATTTCTTGCAATTATTTAATTAATTAATTAAATAATTAACGAAAAATTCAATCCGGAATAACCCATGACCCGCGACCCGGTTCGGTCAGGCCCGTTTTTTTTTCCGGATTATTTTAAATATATTTTTCCCGCAATATTTCAAACACCCCTTTTCAGCCATGGCTGTTTCTCAAAGGTTGCAAACCTTTTCAGAAACATTGCCATCAACTCTATAATAGAGTTTGAATCCCAGAATCTTTCTTTACGAAATTTTCTGAGCTTCTTCTTCTTCTTATTCTGCACAATATTTTTCAGTATGTTTTACGACCATTGAGTGGTTCGCAGTTCATCAGAGTTTTGGTACCTATACACTGGTGAGTTAAATCGTTCTATCCTGGGAAGATATATTCCAGCACCTCGGGTACTTGAGGGAAATAATTTCCTTAAGGACATACTGTGTATTCAGTGGGCTCGATTTATTCCTATACTGTTTTCTTGTTTTCCAGAATCTATTTCGTTAAACAAGTATTACTAACTTTCTGTTTTATTTTTTCAGAAAATTTAATTATTTATTATAGTAATACAGAATAATAATAGACAAAAGTTTGCAAAGCACAGCCTTCTTGAAAGTCAGATTGTTGCTGTCCCAGAGCAGGCAACATCATCTTGGGACAAAGCAGGATTTCTAAAACAAACTACTCTTACCATACGAGAACCTCCTTCCCTTGCGGAAAAAGGTTTAGTGTTGTACTCATGATATTTAGAAACCATATGTTATTAATACAATTGTGCTTATATATTCAGCTTGGAAACTTAGTATAATACCTTATTTATCTTATGTGCCTATAAGCTAAAATACTCAAATATTACGTGCTCTGTTGTACTATATTTTGCACCTACTGAAGCTTCACTGTACGCTTTTAAACGCCTTAGCTATTATGTTACCAGCTACCAGCCATCAAGCTTGTGTGACTACATCGCAGGATAATTTAGAAAAAGGAAAGGGTATATTGGATCCCCTATCATTCGTGAAACATGTAACCATATGCTTCGCTTCGTTAAAAAGGTTATATTGTTGTACTCATGTTTATACACTATACATTATTAGTAGTTGTACTCATGTTTATACACTATACATTATTAGGACAAGGTTGCTTATTTATTTTGCTTGGAGATTGAGTATGATATCTTACTTATCTTATATGTGCCTATAAACTAAAATACAAAAATACTACATGATCTTTTACACTCTATTTTGTATCTACTGAGGCCTCACTGTACGCTTTTAAACGTCTTGGCTATTCTGTTTACCACCTGCTAGTCTTCAAACTTGTATGACTAGAGTGATGGATAATCTAGAAAAAGGAAAGCGTATATTGGATTCCCCTACCATTCATGAAACAGGTAAATCTGCTTTTAGATTATACTTTTTTGAGAATGACATATTGTTTGTACATTACTGTAATCTGTGACTATTTATATAAGGGTCCACATCAGGTACATCTAACCTGCCTCCTCTTTCCTTGAACATTGTTTTAATCAAAGGTTTGCATGAACTTTATATTAAAATAATGTCCACCATACGTATACCTTTGTGTTTGCATTTTTTTAATGATACTTCTTATATATTCAGTTCATAGCCGGGCTACAAAGGTGTGTCCGGCCGCTAAAGAGCAACGAAGTGAGTATGTTGCTCTAAAAAAGGGTTCGCACTCCCAATACTGTCATGCAAAGAGGTTCGAATATGAACCTCTGGGATTTTGCTGTAACAATGGTTCAACAAGGTTGACATATCATAAAATGCCAACTGAATTATCAGAGTTATACTTTGGAAATACTGAAGAATCTGAAAACTTTCGAACTTATATTAGAACATACAATAACATGTTTGCATTTACTTCACTTGGTGTAAATTATGATAAAGAGCTAGCGAGAAGAAATTGCGGTATCTGTACATTTAGAGTCCAGGGACAAATATATCATTTTATAGATGACTAAATTCCTTCCAATGAAAAGTCAAGGAATTTACAGTTGTACTTCTACGATCATGATAATGAACTAGCTAATAGGATGACTTGTTCGACAAGAATTAATGAATCAATAGTAAAAAAGTTGATGGACATATTGAAAGTAAATCCATACACTATTTTCCTAAAATCTCTCTTAAATGTTCCCCAATTATCTTATTTCTATATTGCTCTTAAATGTCACTCAACCTTAGATCAACAGACATATAACTCACCCAGCTCATCAGAGATTGCGGCATTATGTATTGAAGAAAATCCTACAGACATTTTTGCACCACATATTCGAATTTATACCCACAATAATAGAGCTCGATTAGTACATTATTATTATGGATGTTATGATCCGTTGTAGCCGTTATTATTTCCCTTCGGTGAAAATGGATGGCATTGTAGAATCAAAAATATTATTCAGACAAATAATGTGACGAAACTTAGAGCTTATTGTGAACATGAACAGTTGCCCAGTATATCAAACATGTGTTCAGTTGATGGATTTCTTGATATGGAAGACGAATCACTACAAAAAGGAAAACGAAAAAGAGATACAGTGTCTTGTCGAGAGTATTACTGTTACAAATTTTAAATAAGAGATAATGAAATAAATGAAGTGCTACATTGTGGAAGAATATTCCAATAATTTATAGTAGATGTATATATAAAGCTTGAAACACAAAGATTAGGCTTCTTCTCATTTAATCCAGATTTATTTAGAATTGAAGTCTTGCAAGGACTCCTTGATATTTTAAGATATAGTGAAAGGGAAGCCTCTAAAATTGGAAAGAAAACGTTCCTCCTGGTTACATTTATAGGGGGGCCAAGGGACATGCGCCGACGATACATGGATGCTATCGCATTGGTATAATATTTTAGAAAACCTAATTTCTTTATAACAATGACTTGTAACCCTTCTTGGCCAGAAATAAAAGAACATTTGTCACTGGCTGATGAGGTACAGAACATACCTGATTTAGTTAGTAGAGTTTTCAAAGCAAAGGTAGAAGAATTAAAGACGGATATTTTAAAAAGACAAATCTTTGGAAGAGTTGCAGAATTCATGTATACTATAGAAGTCCAAAAACGTGGTCTTTCACATGCTCATTTCCTTATTATACTTGCTGATAACACAAATTACTGACTCCTGAATCTTATGATATATTTGTTTGTGTAGAATTGCCTGATTCTAAAAAAGATCGCGATCTATATTCACTTGTTATTAAACATATGATGCATGGTCCTTGCGGAAAGTTAAATCCTACAAATATTTGCATGAAAAATAATAACTGCAAATTCAAGTATCCAAAAGATTTTGCTGAACAAACATCAAAAGGGAAGAATTCATATCCAAGATACAGAATGAGAAGAACCGGAGAAGCTGTAGAAATAAGAGGTAAATTTCTAGATAATTCTTGGGTAGTTTCATATAATTCATTTTTGCTATGCAAGTATAATTGTCATATGAATGTTGAAGTTTATTCTGATATCAAGGTAGTGAAATATATTTACAAATATATCTGCAAAGGATACGATAAAATTGTATTTCATATACATGGTAGTGATACAAATACAAATATAGATGAAATAAAAGAATATCAATCTGCTAGATGGGTTTCACCTCCAGAAGTTGCGTGGCGATTATTTCGTTTCCCAATAAGTGAAATGACTTCAAGTGTTTTTCACCTTCAGTTACATTTGGAAGGACAACAATTTGTCTCTTTTAAAAGTATTGAGAATGTTGATAGAATACTGAGTAATCCGATGATTCGAAAAACAATGTTAACTGAATTCTTTGTTATGAACAGAACAAATTAAGATGCTATGCAACTATTATTATTATATAAAAAATTTCCCGAGTAATTTGTATGGTCATTTAAGGAAAAGATGTGGACACGTTGAAAATAACGTACTGTAATTGGATGTGTTGTAACATGTTATCCAACATAAGAAGAAAGATATTATCTTAGATTATAGTTGATGAACGTTAGAGGACCAGAATCATATCAGGACTTATGTAAAGTTGACGGCAAATGTTGTAGTACATTTAGAGAGGCTGCAGAAAAAAGAGAATTGTTACACTGTGATAACAACTTGGTTGAATGTATGTCTAAAGCTACAAATTATCAAATGCCATATAGTTTAAGATGTTTATTTGTAACATTATTGGTGTACTGTAATCCCACTAATCCAACAAAACTTTGAAAATAATTTGAAGATTCAATGTCCGAAGATTTTAAGATTCTACCTAACATGAATGCTAAAGATATTCGTTTTATGGCTTTAAATCATATCAATGATATTTTACATTTGATGGGACGTGATATTAATGAATATCATCTTATTCCTGAGAAAACTAAACCTTCATCTGCTATTAGAGAAACCAATGATTGTCAATTTGAAAGAAATATCATTGTTAGAGAAGAAGATTTGCTTCTAGAGAGAAAATTAAATATCGAACAACGAAAAGTGTATGACACGATTCTTGATAGGATATTTTCTAACATATCAGGAGCATTTTTTGTTGACGGACCTGGAGGAACCGGAAAAACTTTTTTATACCGTGCTTTATTAGCTGCTGTACGATCAAAAGGTTTTGTCGCTTTAGCAACAACAAGTTCAAGTGTTGTGGCTTTGATCCTCACAGGAGGACGAACTGCTCACTCCCGTTTTAAATTTACTATTGATATCGATGAACAATATTCTTGCAACATTAGCAAGCAAAGCGCACTTGTAGCTTTAATACGTGATGCAAAAATGATTGTCTGGGATGAAGTATTTATGGCAAAAAAGAAAGTGATAGAAACTTTTGATATTCTTTTAAAGGATATAATGGATACGAATACTCTATTTGGAGGAAAAGTGATCATTTTCGGTGGTTATTTTAGACAAACTCTCTGTCACGACCCAAAATCTAACCCGACGTGATTGAGCCTATCGTGGTACTAAGCAAGCAGACCTTTCCAAAATAATTTTAAAATTTAACAGAAATGAATTAAGACATTTAAAATAACCAGAGTTTTTTATAAAATGGGATAAAACCCAAATAAAATATAAGTACGGAAAAATAGCCCGATATCGGGGTATCACTAAGTCATGAGCATCTAATAACCAATCTAGAAATAGAGTCTACTACATTCTGTGCCAAATGCCAATACAAGAGAGAAAAGATAATAAGAAAGGAGAAACAAGGACTACGAACGCCGACAGCTACCTCGTAAGTCTCCGATAATCAACCCGCGCACGAACTCAGTGACCACCAAAATCGTAGACACCTGGATCTGTACATGAAGTGCAGGGTATAGCATGAGTACAACCAACTCAGCAAGTAATGAAATTAAATAAGGAACTGAGAAGCAGTGATGAGCTATAATAATACAGATCATTTCAAAAGTTTTCAGTAAAGAGTGAACATACTTTCAAACCCGGTGGTGTAAGTCAAATCAGTTCGAGCCCAAGTAAGACAGATAAGAATCTTTCAAAAATTTTACAACAACATCAGATAGCAACTATGTGCAATAATAAATAAAAGCAAGTACAGCCTCTCAAGGCAGCAGTCACTCAACTCATCTCAACAACTCATTCTCTCGACTCTCAGCCCTCAATACACACTCTCAATAGGTACCTGCGCTCACTGGGGGTGTGCAGACTCCGGATGGGATCCTTCAGCCCAAGCGCTATATTGCTGCGGCGCGCAACCCGATCCAATATTATTGCGGCGTGTAACCCGATCCAATATTATTGCGGCGTGCAACCCGATCCAATATTGTTGAGGCATGCAACCCGATCCAAATATATATATATATATATATATAGCCCGGAGGCTTGTTGCGTCGTGCAACCCGATCTATATACCTCACAGCTCACAGCTCGGCACTCAGGCCCTACCTCAGTCACTAACCTCTCCAGTCCCTCGGGCTCACAAAATATCATAATAACCAGCCCAGGCAGAAAATACAACAAGTATCAACAAGAAATGAAAGGAAACAGAGATATAACACACAAGTAAGACTGTGACTGAGTACAAGACAATAATTAGCAGTCAATTCAACAAGTATATGGCCGTTCCGGGTCCCAACAGTAATATCATATGGCCTAAGCATGGTTTCTAACATGAAAGACAGTCAATTGCTCAAAGACGAGGATAACAAGTAATAACAATGGCTATTCGACTTTACAGTCTCACGGGACGGACCAAGTCACAATCTCTCACGGTGCACGCCTGCACGCCCATCACCTAGCATATGCGTCACCTCCAATTATTCACATCATATAAATTCTCGGGGTTTCATACCCTCAAAATCAGATTTAAGACTGTTACTTACCTCAAACCGAGCAAATCTCTACTCCGAAATGCCTTTACCTCTCAAATCGGCCTCCAAACGTCCCTAATCTAGCCATAAGTAGAACAATACAATCAATATAGGCTAAAGGGATCAATTCCACAAGAAAAGTACTAAATTATAGCCAAAAATCCGAAATTGGCCCGAACCCGGCCTCAGGGCCTACGTCTCAAAATCCGACAAAAGTCACAAAACCCGAAAGCCCATTCACTCACGAGTCTAACCATACCAAATTTATTCAAATTCAAAAACAAAATCCCATTCAAAACCTCAAAATCCCGACTCAAGAGTTCTTTCCTCTTTTCCCCCAATTTCATACCCCAAATCACAAATTAGATGATAAAATTAAAGATGAAATCATGGGATTTAACCAAAACCAAGTAAGAATCACTTACCCCAATCAACTCCACGAAAATCCCTTCAAGTATTGCCCAATTCCGTGTTCTCTAGCTCAAAATATGCAAAATGGGTTCAAACCCTCGTTGTTGAAATTAATATTGCGTGCCCAGATATCCTTCATCACGATCGCGGAACATTCCCCTCAATCGCAGAACATTTCTCGCGATCACGAAGCACAACTATGCTGCCCCACATTTTTACCCTACGCTAACACGGAATCACCCACGCGATCGCGGATCACTGCCTCTCATACCTACGCGATCGCATCCTGCCTCACGCGATCGCATAAAGCATTGGCCACACCTCCTCTCCTGCTCAAATCCTTCTACGCGAATGCGACCTTAGCCACGCGTTCGCGAATCACATCTTCGCACACACACGTTATCGCGTTCCTAACTCTACGATTGCATAGAACAAACTCACCTCTGCCCTAAATAAGCTTACGCGATCACGAATGAATCCCTGCGATCGCGTACAAGGAAACCAGAACCTGCTGAAACCAGAACTTCAGTTGTCAAGCCAAGTCCCAAAATGATCCGTTAAGCATCTGAAACTCACTCGAGGTCCCCGGGACTTCAACCAAACATACCAACCAAATCCTAAAATACCATACGAACTTAGTCAAGCCTTCGAATCACTCAAAATAACATCAAAACACCAATTATACCCGGATTCAAGCCTAAAGAACTTCTAAACTTTTAAATTTCACAAACGACGCTGAAACCTACCAAGACACGTCCGATTAACCTCAAATTTTGCACACAGGTCATATTCAATATTATGGACCTATTCCAACTTCCGGAATCAAAATTTGACCCCGATATCAAATAGTCAACCCCTGGTCAAACTTCCAAAAATTTGACTTTCGCCATTTCAAGCTTAAATTAGCTACAGACCTCAAATTCACAGTCCGGACATGCTCCTAAGTCCAAAATCATCCAACAGAGCTAACGGAACCGACGAAACTCCATTACGGAATCGTCTTCACACACTTCTGACTACGATCAAAATTTCGAGACTTAAGCTTCCGTTTTAGGGACTAAATATCCCGAAACACTCCAAAACCAAAAATAAGACCTCCCGGCAAGTCACTTAAGAAAAAACAGATATGGGAGAAATAGTAAATAGGGGATTGGGGCTAATAGACTCAAAATGACCGGCGGGTCATTACATCCTCCCCCTCTTAAAACAATTGTTCCTCCTCGAACGAGCATAGAGACATACCTGAAGTAGTGAAAAGATTAGGATAGCGGCAACGCATATCGTGCTCGGTCTCCCAAGTCGCCTCCTCGACAGGCTGACCTCTCCATTACGCCTTTACTGAAGCTATATCCTTTGACCTCAACTTCCGAACCTGTCGCTCCAAAATAGCCACCGGCTCCATATCATAAGTCATATCACCATCCAACTGAACTGTGCTGAAATCCAAAATATGGGACGGATTGCCGATAGTCTTCTGGAGCATAGAGACATGAAATACTGGATGCACACTCGACAAGCTAGGTGGCAAGGCAAGCTTGTAAGTCACCTCTCCGATCCTCTAAAGTACCTCAAAAGGCCCAATGAACTGAGGGCTTAACTTTCCCCTCTTCCCAAACCTCATAATACCCTTCATGGGTGATACCTTCAGCAGAACTTTCTCCCCGACCATGAAAGACACATGATAGACCTTCCTGTTAGCATAGCTTCTCTGCCTAGACTGCGCCGTGCGAAGCTGCTCCTGAATCAATTTCACCATGTCTAATGCATCCTGGACCAAGTCTATACCCAAGAGCCTAGCCTCACCCTGCTCAAACCATCCCACCAGAGATCTACACCGCCTCCCATATAAAGCCTCGTACGGAGCCATCTGAATGCTCAACTGATAACTGTTGTTATATGCAAACTCCGCGAGCGGCCGAAACTGGTACCATGAACTCCCAAAATCAATGACATAAGCGTGTAACATGTCCTCCAATATCTGGATAGTGCACTTGGACTGTCCGTCCATCTGAGGGTGAAAGGTTGTGCTCAACTCAACCTGAGTACCCAACTCTCATTGCACAGCCCTCCAAAACTGCGATGTAAACTGTGTGCCTCTATCTAAAATGATGGAAACTGGGACACCATGAAGGCGAACAATCTATCGGATGTAAATCTCAATGAACCGCTCTGAAGAATACGTAGTACCAACTGGAATGAAGTGCGCAAACTTGGTCAGGCGATCCACAATCACCAAAATAGCATCGAACTTCCTCGAAGTCCGTGGGAGCCCAACTACGAAATCCATGGTGATCTGCTCCCACTTCCACTCTGGGATCTCTAACCTCTGAAGCAAGCCACCCGGTCTCTGATGCTCATACTTAACCTACTAACAATTGAGACACCGAGCCACAAACCCAACTATATCCTTTTTCATCCTCCTCCATCAATAGTGCTGTCTCAAATCCCGATACATCTTCGCGACACCCAGATGAATGGAATATCGCGAGTTGTGGGCCTCCTCAAGAATTAACTCCTGAAGCCCATCCACATTGGGCACACATACCCGCCCATGCATCCTCAACACACCATCATCACCAATAGTCATATCTCTAGCATCACCTCGCCGAACCCTGTCCTAGAGGATGAGCAGATGAGGGCCATCATACTGATGCTCCCTAATACTATCATAAAGAGAATACCTAGAGATCACACAGGCCAAAACCCGAATCAGCTTCAAAATATCCAATCTGATAAGCTGGCTAGCTAAGGCCTGAACATCCAATTCCAAGGGTCTCTCTGCTGCTGGAAGATACTCTAAACTCCCCAAACTCTCCTCCCGGCGACTCAAGGCATCGGCCACCACATTGGCCTTCCCGGGATGGTACAAAATGGTGATATCATATTCCTTAAGAAACTCCAACCACCTCCGCTGTCGCAAGTTAAGATCCTTCTGTTTGAACAAATGCTGCAAACTCCGACGATCATTGTAAATCTCACAATGAACCCCGTACAGATCGTGCCACCAAATCTTCAAGGCGTGAACAATAGCTGCTAACTCAAGATCATGGACATGATAGTTCTTCTCATGGGTCTTCAACTGGCGTGAAGCATAAGCAATGAGTCTACTCTCCTGCATCAGAACACATCCAATACCTATCCGTGAGGCATCACAATACATTGTGTAAGAACCAGAAGCTGATGGTAGAACTAGAAGTGGAGCCG